ATTTGGTAATTGAACCAATGGTTAAATTAATTCGAGCAAGACCTGAGACAAAACCATTTCCAGTTAAAGTAGAAAAAGAAGAGAAATTATTATTTGTTATTATTTGATTAATTATTACTAATTTATCACTAATTAGTGTTAAACATGACCCAGGATCAAATAAGATTTTAATTTTATTATGATTTAATTCACCTGAGATAATGAGATGGAAAGGTTTGGAATCAGATCTGCTTATAAGTTTAAATTATTGTCATTATTATTATGATTATTATTATTATTACCTTGATTGAAAGGATGATGAGATTGAGATGATGATGAGGATGGTTGAGAAAAAGATGATGATGATGATGGTGGTGGTGGTTGAGAAATACAATCAACAAAGTTGACTTTGGGTTGATGGTAATTGTCCTTTCGGAGTGGACAGTCAGAGGACCAGTGAAATTGATTTGGTTTCCCATTAGCAATGCAACGATAACAAGCTCCTTTCGGTTGTTTCTTAACCACTTGATTATTATTATTATTACCTTCACGGTGATAATTGAATTGTTTGTTGCGATGAAATACTTGACGATTTTTATTTTGATTATTATTATTATTGTTATTGTCATTTCGAGGTAATTGTTGTTCGGCCGTTTTGGCAATTGTATAAAACTCACAATAAGTATTAACTTGATGACCTAAGAAACATCGATTCAATTCATCTGAGAGATGATCAATCATTAATTCAACCGCTTGAGTTTCAGTGAAACCCGCTAGACCAGCTAGTCGTTTCTTACTCTCGAAATACTCGTCAACATTTTTGACATGATTAAATTTTAATCGACAAAATTCAACACTTGGTCTAATTGACCTGACACCAAAACGAGTAATTAGTTTATTTTTAATTGTGATCCAATCACCAGAATCACGAGCAGAAATGTAAGTATTTAGAGCATCTTTGTCTAAATATTCAGCAAGAAGATCAATTTTTTCATCATATGACCAATTATAACGATTAGCAGTTGATTCATATAATTTCAACCAATTTTCAATAGTTACCGACTTATCATGTCCATTAAAAATATGTAGTCTTGGGCGGAAGTGATTTGATTGTTGTTGATGTTCAGGTGGAGGTGGTGGTCGTGGAGGAGGAACAACATCACTATTATTATTAATATTAACTGATGAAGGTTGAAAATTATCACCATCGTTAAACATTTTGATTAGATGAATTGATTGTGATGAAAATAATAAGAAATTGAAACAATAGACTTGTAATTAAACACACAAGTTGATGAGGATTATGCAGTTGCAGAAGTGAATGAGGGTAAAGACGAGGAAATTTATCCTGTCGACTTGTAAGGTTTTCACCAGTAAATTTTGTCACCCAAAAGAAATTAAGATTTTTATTATTATTAATATTATTAATTAGACACAAATGATTAGTAATTTAACTAAAACAAATGATTAACTGAATTACATGAACCAGATTGATTGAAACTTATTTGTTGAACAAAATTAAATTGATTAACTATCTCAATTGAGATCCAAATTGTTAATGGTTTCCAATAGTTAAGGGTTTTGGTTAAGTACCAAAGGATGAGAAGAGGTAAAGAGAAGAGAGGATAAGAAAGAAAGAGAAAGAAGACTGAAAAGACTAATAATATTATTATTAGTACCCTTTTCTCGACCGTTGTAAAGATTTGAAACTGTTGGGATAAAGGTAAGAAAGAAGATAAAGATGATAAATTTTAAATAAATAGAAAGAGAAAAAGACAGAGAAAAGTAAGAGAAAATTGTTAAAGAAAAATCTTCTTTCTATTTGTCTAATTGTAAAGACAAGTTTTAAAACGTAAAGTTTTCTTGGTCAACTGAATTAGCTGATTGAAACATTACATCCCTCCACTTGAGGCGAGAAACAGAGGTGAATGGAGTCAATTGGTCGGTGGTTCTGTGGTTAGTTCGTTGAGGAAAAGAAATTGGGTTAATAGTAATAATAATAATAAATTGGAACCAACATTTAGTTTAAATTGGTTAAATAATAATGACAATTATTGAATAATTAATAATAATTGAAAAGCAAAGTTAAATGAAAGAAAAATTGAAATAATTTGATTAATGAATTGGATTGGTTTATGTTGACTTGATTGGGATTAAATGCTTTGAGTGAACTTGTTCAATTAATAATGGAGATTCTGATTTAGCAACATTATAAATATTAGTTGCATGTTGATTAATTATTCTGAAAGGACCGAATTGGTTACAATCCAATTTACCCTTATTAATACCACTACGATTTACAATGTAAACCAAATCATTTGGATTGAATTGATGAAGTTGATGAGTTGTAATAAAATTAATATTAATATTATTATTAGTTAAATAATCAGAGAATTGATTTGAGGTAATTGCTTTATATTGATCAGCAACTATCAATTTTGGTTTACCCATTTTCTTGATTTTCTCAATTAATTTAATAAATTCATTAGCAGTTTGATTATTTGAACCAATTGTCCAAACAAATCGAGAAAAGTGATCAACAGCTAAATGGATATACTTTTCTTACTTATATCCATCTAACCCACAAATTGTGTCAATTGCGATTATTTGAAATGAATCTTTAGGTGGACCAAATTGTCCAAAGTCACTAATTAATTTGATTCTTTTAGTTTTGCCTAATTGACAAGGTCGACAATTAGCAACGAAATTAATATCATTGGTCAATTTAGGCCAATAGTATTTCCAGGAAATTACGGTGATCATTTTTCTTACTAAATGACCAAATTGTTCATGAACAATGTTCATGACCTGAGCTTTCAAATTTTCAGGTAATATGATTCTCTCATTCCCATTTTATCAATTTTAATTTTAAGTCCATTTTATCAACAATTGTTGATAGATTTGATTGTAATTTTAATTGTTCATTTTAATTAGATCAATATTGATAAAATTAACGAAGAGGAGATTCAATTTCTTCATTGGTTCTCTTGACAGAAAATCAGCTTCAATATTTTCACTACCTGGTCGGTATTTAATTTCAAAGTTGTATTGACCAAGTAAAAAGGCCCAAGTGAATAAGCGGGAATTTGGTTTCTTGATTTTCCTAATTGAAGTCAAGGCACTATGATCAGTAATCACGGTAAATTTCCGGTCATAAAGATAATGGTGCCAATATTTAATTGACTCAATTACCGCTAAACACTCAAGATGAGTAACTGGATAATTTTGCTGATAATTAGTTAATTTCTTTGAGAAATACCCAATTGGGTGTAATTCATTTGATTCATTTGGTTGTTTAAGTACTGCACCTATTCCAATTTTACTGGCATCAGTTTCAAGGATCAACTCATTATTTGGATTAAACATTTTTAATACTGGCTCAGAGGTAAGTAATAATTTAATTTGGTCAAACGATTTTTGACAATTTTCGTTCCATTCGAACTTATTTTCTTTTCTTAACAACTGATGAAGAGGTTCAAGAATTGTACTGATTTTATTAATGAATTTTCTATTATAATTTACTTTACCAAGGAATCTTCTTAATTCGGTTATTGTTTTGGGTGGTGTTAATTTCAAAATCGAATCAACGTTAGAGTGAAGAGGACGAACCTCATTTAGAGACAAACTATGTCCAAGATAATTAACTTTTAATTGAGCAATTTTACATTTTTCGAAATTCAATTTTAATCCTTCATTTGAAACTGCAGTTAATAATTTTTCAATGTGGTCAATGTGAGGACAAATATATGAGTAGACAATTATATCATCAATATAATTGTGACAGAATTTGAGAGAATATTTTCAATTAGATTTCTAATTGCTCGCTGAAAATAGCGGGGCATTTTGAACCCAAAGGGCATTACTAACCACCATAGTGACCATTTTGAGTGATGAACGCAGTTTAGTTACGTCATCTTTTCTAACACGAATGTGCCAGAAACCAGATCGAACATCAAAGACACTGAAGTATTTGTTATTGTGTGTTATCAATTATGTCCTCAATTGGATTGGAAGAGGCATTGATATTTGTCTGGTATTACTTTATCATTTAATTTTCTGTAATCGATACAAAATCGAGTCTTATCATTATCTTCTCTTTTAAATGCAAGTGTGACTGGAGAAGCATAAGGTGAGTGAGAATGTTGAATTAGATTAGCTTTTAATAAGCTCGTTATTTCATTTTCGATTCTATTTTGTTCAATGGGTGAAGTTCGGTAAGGTTTACTGTTAATTGGAATTTTAGAATCTAATTCAATGATACATTGTGCCTCAGAAAGAACACCAATGTTAAATTTGTTATCACTAAAAACACTTTCAAATTTTGTTAATAGTTTGATTAAATTATTATTATTATTAATTGAATTCAATTTAGATTCAATATCAATGTGGAAGTTTAAATGTAAATTGATTTGAGGATCAATCAATTGAACTACTGATTGTTCATTTTCCTCAGTTAATTGTTGAAAAATTTGATAATTTGAGGGACAATTTAATTTGAATTTGTAAATGTTATCTAAACCCAATAGTAAATCAACATAATCCAATTTAGTAACATAAACGATAATTGATTTGGTAATTGAACCAATGGTTAAGTTAATTCGAGCAAGACCTGAGATAAAACCATTTCCAGTTAAAGTAGAAAAAGAAGAGAAATTATTATTTGTTATTATTTGATTAATTGTTACTAATTTATCACTAATTAGTGTTAAACATGACCCAGGATCAAATAAGATTTTAATTTTATTATTATTTAATTCACCTGAGATAATGAGATGGAAAGGTTTGGAATCAGATCTGCTTATAAGTTTAAATTATTGTCATTATTATTATGATTATTATTATTATTACCTTGATTGAAAGGATGATGAGGTTGAGATGATGATGAGGATGGTTGAGAAAAAGATGATGATGATGGTGGTGGTGGTTGAGAAATACAATCAACAAAGTTGACTTTGGGTTGATGGTAATTGTCTTTTCGGAGTGGACAGTCAGAGGACCAGTGAAATTGATTTGGTTTCCCATTAGCAATGCAACGATAACAAGCTCCTTTCGGTTGTTTCTTAACCACTTGATTATTATTATTATTACCTTCACGGTGATAATTGAATTGTTTGTTGCGATGAAATACTTGACGATTTTTATTTTGATTATTATTATTATTGTGATTGTCATTTCGAGGTAATTGTTGTTCGGCTGTTTTGGCAATTGTATAAAACTCACAATAAGTATTAACTTGATGACCTAAAAAACATCGATTCAATTCATCTGAGAGATGATCAATCATTAATTCAACTGCTTGAGTTTCAGTGAAACCCGCTAGACCAGCTAGTCGTTTCTTACTCTCGAAATACTCGTCAACATTTTTGACATGATTGAATTTTAATCGACAAAATTCAACACTTGGTCTAATTGACCTGACACCAAAACGAGTAATTAGTTTATTTTTAATTGTGATCCAATCACCAGAATCACGAGCAGAAATGTAAGTATTTAAAGCATCTTTGTCTAAATACTCAGCAAGAAGATCAATTTTTTCATCATATGACCAATTATAACGATTAGCAGTTGATTCATATAATTTCAACCAATTTTCAATAGTTACCGACTTATCATGTCCATTAAAAATATGTAGTCTTGGGCGGAAGTGATTTGATTGTTGTTGATGTTCAGGTGGAGGTGGTGGTCGTGGAGGAGGAACAACATCACTATTATTATTAATATTAACTGATGAAGGTTGAAAATTATCACCATCGTTGAACATTTTGATTAGTTGAGTTGATTGTGATGAAAATAATAAGAAAACAAGACGATTGAACTGTAATATAACACAAATTGATGAAGATAATTAAGTAGCAGAAGTGAGTGAGGGTAAAGACGAGGAAATTTATCCTGTCGACTTGTAAGGTTTTCACCAGTAAATTTTGTCACCCAAAAGAAATTAAGACTTTTATTATTATTAATATTATTAATTAGACACAAATTATTAGTAATACAACTAAAACAAATGATTAACTGAATTACATGAACCAGATTGATTGAAACTTATTTGTTGAACAAAATTAAATTGATTAACTATCTCAATTGAGATCCAAATTGTTAATGGTTTTCAATGGTTAAGGGTTTTTGGTTAAGTACCAAAGGATGAGAAGAGGTAAAGAGAAAGAGAGAGGATAAGAAAGAAAGAGACAAAGAGAAAGACCCAAAGAAAAGACTAATAATATTATTATTAGTACCCTTTTCTCGACCGTTGTAAAGATTTGAAACTGTTGGGATAAAGGTAAGAAAGAAGATAAAGATGATAAATTTTAAATAAATAGAAAGAGAAAAAGACAGAGAAAAGTAAGAGAAAATTACTAAAGAAAAATCTTCTTTCTATTTGTCTAATTGTAAAGACAAGTTTTAAAACGTAAAGTTTTCTTGGTCAACTGAATTAGCTGATTGAAACATTACATCCCTCCACTTGAGGCGAGAAACAGAGGTGAATGGAGTCAATTGGTCGGTGGTTCTGTGGTTAGTTCGTTGAGGAAAAGAAATTGGGTTAATAGTAATAATAATAATAAATTGGAACCAACATTTAGTTTAAATTGGTTAAATAATAATGACAATTATTGAATAATTAATAATAATTGAAAAAGCAAAGTTAAATGAAAGAAAAATTGAAATAATTTGATTAATGAATTGGATTGGTTTATGTTGATTTGATTGGGATTAAATGCTTTGAGTGAACTTGTTCAATTAATAATGGAGATTCTGATTTAGCAACATTATAAATATTAGTTGCATGTTGATTAATTATTCTGAAAGGACCAAATTGGTTACAATCCATTTACCTTATTAATACCACTACGATTTACAATGTAAACCAAATCATTTGGATTGAATTGATGAAGTTGATGAGTTGTAATAAAATTAATATTAATATTATTATTAGTTAAATAATCAGAGAATTGATTTGAGGTAATTGCTTTATATTGATCAGCAACTATCAATTTTGGTTTACCCATTTTCTTAATTTTCTCAATTAATTTAATAAATTCATTAGCAGTTTGATTATTTGAACCAATTGTCCAAACAAATCGAGAAAAGTGATCAACAGCTAAATGGATATACTTTTTATTGCACTTATATCCGTCTAGACCACAAATTGTGTCAATTGCGATTATTTGAAATGAATCTTTAGGTGGACCAAATTGTCCAAAGTCACTAATTAATTTGATTCTTTTAGTTTTGCCTAATTGACAAGGTCGACAATTAGCAACGAAATTAATAATATCATTGGTCAATTTAGGCCAATAGTATTTCCAGGAAATTACGGTGATCATTTTTCTTACACCTAAATGACTAAATTGTTCATGAACAATGTTCATGACCTGAGCTTTCAAATTTTCAGGTAATATGATCATTCCATTTTTATCAATTTTAATTTTAAGTCCATTTTATCAACAATTGTTGATAGATTTGATTGTAATTTTAATTGTTCATTTTTAATTAGATCAATATTGATAAAATTAACAAGACGAAGAGGAGATTCAATTTCTTCATTTGAAATTGGTTCTCTTGACAGAAAATCAGCTTCAATATTTTCACTACCTGGTCGGTATTTAATTTCAAAGTTGTATTAACCAAGTAAAAAGGCCCAAGTGAATAAGCGGGAATTTGGTTTCTTGATCTTCCTAATTGAAGTCAAGGCACTATGATCAGTAATCACGGTAAATTTCCGGTCATAAAGATAATGGTGCCAATATTTAATTGACTCAACTACCGCTAAACACTCAAGATGAGTAACTGGATAATTTTGCTGATAATTAGTTAATTTCTTTGAGAAATACCCAATTGGGTGTAATTCATTTAATTCATTTGGTTGTTTAAGTACTGCACCTATTCCAATTTTACTGGCATCAGTTTCAAGGATCAACTCATTATTTGGATTAAACATTTTTAATACTGGCTCAGAGGTAAGTAATAATTTAATTTGGTCAAACGATTTTTGACAACTTTCGGTCCATTCGAACTTATTTTCTTTTCTTAACAACTGATGAAGAGGTTCAAGAATTGTACTGATTTTATTAATGAATTTTCTATTATAATTTACTTTACCAAGGAATCTTCTTAATTCGGTTATTGGTGGTGTTAATTTCAGAATCGAATCAACGTTAGAGTGAAGAGGACGAACCTCATTTAGAGACAAACTATGTCCAAGATAATTAACTTTTAATTGAGCAATTTTACATTTTTCGAAATTCAATTTTAATCCTTCATTTGAAACTGCAGTAATAAATTTTTCAATGTGGTCAATGTGAGGACAAATATGAGTAGACAATTATATCATCAATATAATTGTGACAGAATTTTGTGAGAGAATATTTTTCAATTAGATTTCTAATTGCTCGCTGAAAAATAGCGGGGGCATTTTTGAACCCAAAGGGCATTACTAACCACTCATAGTGACCATTTTGAGTGATGAACGCAGTTTTAGCTACGTCATCTTTTCTAACACGAATGTGCCAGAAACCAGATCGAACATCAAAGACACTGAAGTATTTGTTATTGTGTAAGTTATCAATTATGTCCTCAATTGGATTGGAAGAGGCATTGGATATTTGTCTGGTATTACTTTATCATTTAATTTTCTGTAATCGATACAAAATCAAGTCTTATCATTATCTTCTCTTTTAAATGCAAGTGTGACTGGAGAAGCATAAGGTGAGTGAGAATGTTGAATTAGATTAGCTTTTAATAAGCTCGTTATTTCATTTTCGATTCTATTTTGTTCAATGGGTGAAGTTCGGTAAGGTTTACTGTTAATTGGAATTTTAGAATCTAATTCAATGATACATTGTGCCTCAGAAAGAACACCAATGTTAAATTTGTTATCACTAAAAACACTTTCAAATTTTGTTAATAGTTTGATTAAATTATTATTATTAATTGAATTCAATTTAGATTCAATATCAATGTGGAAATTTAAAGGTAAATTGATTTGAGGATCAATCAATTGAACTACTGATTGTTCATTTTCCTCAGTTAATTGTTGAAAAATTTGATAATTTGAGGGACAATTTAATTTGAATTTGTAAATGTTATCTAAACCCAATAGTAAATCAACATAATCCAATTTAGTAACATAAACGATAATTGATTTGGTAATTGAACCAATGGTTAAATTAATTCGAGCAAGACCTGAGACAAAACCATTTCCAGTTAAAGTAGAAAAAGAAGAGAAATTATTATTTGTTATTATTTGATTAATTGTTACTAATTTATCACTAATTAGTGTTAAACATGACCCAGGATCAAATAAGATTTTAATTTTATTATTATTTAATTCACCTGAGATAATGAGATGGAAAGGTTTGGAATCAGATCTGCTTATAAGTTTAAATTATTGTCATTATTATTATGATTATTATTATTATTACCTTGATTGAAAGGATGATGAGGTTGAGATGATGATGAGGATGGTTGAGAAAAAGATGATGATGATGGTGGTGGTGGTGGTTGAGAAATACAATCAACAAAGTTGACTTTGGGTTGATGGTAATTGTCTTTTCGGGTGGACAGTCAGAGGACCAGTGAAATTTGGTTTCCCATTAGCAATGCAACGATAACAAGCTCCTTTCGTTGTTTCTTAACCACTTGATTATTATTATTATTACCTTCACGGTGATAATTGAATTGTTTGTTGCGATGAAATACTTGACGATTTTATTTTGATTATTATTATTATTGTGATTTTCATTGGTGTTGTTCGGCTGTTTTGGCAATTGTATAAAACTCACAATAAGTATTAACTTGATGACCTAAAAACATCATTCAATTCATCTGAGAGATGATCAATCATTAATTCAACTGCTTGAGTTTCAGTGAAACCCGCTAGACCAGCTAGTCGTATCTTACTCTCGAAATACTCGTCAACATTTTTAACATGATTAAATTTTAATCGACAAAATTCAACACTTGGTCTAGTTGACCTGACACCAAAACGAGTTATTAGTTTATTTTTAATTGTGATCCAATCACCAGAATCACGAGCAGAAATGTAAGTATTCAAAGCATCTTTGCTAGATACTCAGCAAGAAGATCAATTTTTTCATCACCAATTTCATGACCAATTATAACGATTAGCAGTTGATATATATAATTTCAACCAATTTTCAATAGTTACCGACTTATCATGTCCATTAAAAATATGTAGTCTTGGGCGGAAGTGATTTGATTGTGGTTGATGTTCATATGGGGGTGGTGGTCGAGGAGGAACAAAATCACTATTATTATTAATATTAACTGATGAACGTTGCAAATTATCACCATCGTTGAACATTTTGATTAGATGCGTTGATTGTGATGAAAATAATAAGAAAACAAGACGATTGAACTGTAATATAACACAAATTGATGAAGATAATTAAGTAGCAGAAGTGAGTGAGGGTAAAGACGAGGAAATTTATCCTGTCGACAAGGTTTTCACCAGTAAATTTTGTCACCCAAAAGAAATTAAGACTTTTATTATATTAATATTATTAATTAGACACAAATTATTAGTAATACAACTAAAACAAATGATTAACTGAATTACATGAACCAGATTGATTGAAACTTATTTGTTGAACAAAATTAAATTGATTAACTATCTCAATTGAGATCCAAATTGTTAATGGTTTTCAATGGTTAAGGGTTTTGGTTAAGTACCAAAGGATGAAGGGTAAAAGAGAAAGAGAGATAAGAAAGAAAGAGACAAAGAAAGACCAAAGAAAAGACTAATAATATTATTATTAGTACCCTTTTCTCGACCGTTGTAAAGATTTGAAACTGTTGGGATAAAGGTAAGAAAGAAGATAAAGATGATAAATTTTAAATAAATAGAAAGAGAAAAAGACAGAGAAAAGTAAGAGAAAATTGTTAAAGAAAAATCTTCTTTCTATTTGTCTAATTGTAAAGACAAGTTTTAAAACGTAAAGTTTTCTTGGTCAACTGAATTAGCTGATTGAAACATTACATCCCTCCACTTTAGGTGAGAAACAGAGGTGAGTGGAGTCAATTGGTCGGTGGTTCTGTGGTTAGTTTGTTGAGGAAAAGAAATTGGGTTAATAGTAATAATAATAATAAATTGGAACCAATATTTAATGTAAATTGGTTAAATAATAATGACAATTATTGAATAATTAATAATAATTGAAAAAGCAAAGTTAAATGAAAGAAAAATTGAAATAATTTGATTAATGAATTGGATTGGTTTATGTTGACTTGATTGGGATTAAATGCTTTGAGTGAACTTGTTCAATTAATAATGGAAAGCTATAATAGAATAATAGAAGCTGATTGAAACATTACATGTATTATACGAGAAAGTTCGGGAATGTCAAAAACATAAGTTGAGATCATTGAGTTTCTAACAACTTGGGCTAAATCAGAACGAAGACCATTGATACTTTCATGAATTTTATCTTCAACAGGCATTTCAATTTTATCGCAGAGTCTATCCTTTCTCAACAGATATTCGTAGGCACTTTCATGGTAAGATTGACGACATTTTCTTACTTGATCACGAACATAACTTCTAAAGTTTGGAAGACCAAAAGCTGCTTTAAACATTTCAAGAAAACTTGCCTCTCTGGTGTAGTCGAAAGTCCAGGAGCAGCATAACTTTCATACCAATTTTGCATGTTCAGTAAAGTAATTAGCGATGTTATCCAATTTGTCGGATTCGTCCCATCCAACAACTGTTGATTTTCGGTCAAATTCAGCAATCCATTCGGCTAAACTATACTATAGCCCCCCTTCTGATTGTCTTGAAATTTTTTGTATGAATAGCCAATACCAATATGTGTATTCATGAGTAGTATGAATTTGCGGAAATGTCTAGTATAGAAGTTACAGGGATTCAAAAATAGAAATTTGCATTGAGCTCTATGGAGTAATTCCTTATTTTGCCGAACATGAATAGGCTATCATTAAGTTCTGAAAGTTATGCATCATGATCTTTATGTGTCGAAGTTCAAAATGGGTCAATTTAATGCGCATGCGCAGAACAGAACCTGAGATATCAACTGATTATGATACAGATTTAATTGTTTTAACCTAATATCATGCTGTAATGGCATGTGTGTCGTATTTTGAGGCATTCAAGGCGTGAAATTTGTTAGATCGGGACCATACACTCATATGTATAGGCTTAGATATGAATTTGATTAGAACGAGCTCCCTCTGCTAGATTAGCCTACGCAAGATTAGGCTTGACTTTTCCTGTGGGCGTGGTCGCTCGCGACCACGCCCACTTGAGGGTGGAGGGTCAAAATTCGCCGCCCCGTTTAAGTGCAGAGGTGCTTAATTGGAACAAACTTCTAATTACTTATATATTACAATGGCGTTGCATTTAATTGATACCAGAGCTCTGTTGGCATTACCCAGCCAGTACCACGTGGAGGTAGAGCTGGATTTTACTGGCCAAACAGGTGTTGTTCACCGGGTGCCTGGAAGCCCGGGGCCTAAGAATATTAGCAGGCCAAGGTTTTGATTCGAGTCCTTCCAACTCTAGCCGAATGAGCTTATATGGGGTAGCCTTGCTTGATGGCATTAAGCAGGCTATCAAATGGGTGGACTTTGTTCTTTCTGCACCAGCGTCTCCACTGGTACTCCAGAACTCGGTCTGCGAATTGTTCTCTCGGGACTCGGCGATCCCTAAAGAAAACCCGCATCGGACGCCAGGAAGCTTCTATTCTCTGGGTATGAACACCAGCTTCATTGACGAACTCTTTCGAGTGGTCAACCCACTGATGCACATAGCCATGAGAACTTAGGCCTCTGTACGCCCGCCACCCATCCGTCCTTACAATGGACCCCTCGACCACGTGCTTCTTGATCAGGGGGATAAGGGCTTCAGCCGTTCGAGAATTATTGGGACAAGTCTCGAGACGTAAGTCCTCCGACCCATCCGCAATAATCCCTAGCAGCCAATGACCCTCGATGACCCGGCCTTTGTGGTATTTCCGACGACCAAATTTGGCCTCGTCAATTTGAACCACAATACCGGGACCACCAATCCGCCCCGAATGTTCCTGATGTCCTAGGAACATTGAAGACACGACCTCGCGACACTGGGTGTAGGTGGAAGCCACAGTGTTCGGGGAGACAGAGGCCTCATTCTCTGCCTCCTCGTAAGCAGCATCAGCAGCCCAGGAATAAATGAGACGAAGGTGGTCTACTAGTGGGATCCTCGAATTCTCGAAGAAAGAACCACTAGCAGCACTTCGCTCACTCGGTCTGGTGCTGTGCTGCTTATGGCGAGGGCACCGAAATGATCCAGGATCCCCGATCAACAAAATAGTTCATCGGGATTCGATGCTGGCCGCAGTCGTTGGTAGCCAGAAGGAGACCTTCTGTTTGAGCCCAGCGTAATGCTGACTCACGGCTACCGCAGACTTGCTCTAACCGCGCATGGTTCCAAGAACGAGCCATGCGGGGAGGCCGGACCTAAAATGGGAGAAAGATAGAGAAGAAAGGGGTGATAGAAAGAGAAGGTGAAAAAAAGGGGATGAGAGCGCAAGAGAGAGCAAGAGAGCACGAGGGAGCAAGAGGGAGCAAGAGAGTAAGAGGGAGCAAGAGAGTAAGAGGGAGCAAGAGAGTAAGAGGGAGCAAGAGAGCAAGAGGGAGCAAGAGAGCAAGAGAGAGCAAGAGAGAGCGAGAGAAAAACCCGATGTTGTCGGGTCAAAAGTCAAAATCAAAATGAGGCTTTCTGATGCATGTGCATTATTATTTAGGTGCAGACATGTGGTGCCATCTACAAAAAATCAATTTGCATCACTATAAGTGCGCAAAGTTTAAAAATAACAATTTTTAATGCAGTTTTAGCTATGAAGATGTCTGCGCATGCGCATTAAATTGACCCATTTTGAACTTCGACACATAAAGATCATGATGCATAACTTTCAGAACTTAATGATAGCCTATTCATGTTCGGCAAAATAAGGAATTACTCCATAGAGCTCAATGCAAATTTCTATTTTTGAATCCCTGTAACTTCTATACTAGACATTTCCGCAAGTTCATACTACTCATGAATACACATATTGGTATTGGCTATTCATACAAAAAATTTCAAGACAATCAGAAGGGGGGGCTAAAGTATAATCTTACCATCCATTCGTATAAGTCTTCACGGTCTTTAAGTGAACCAGAAAATGGATATATAGTACATTTTGCGAGACATCGTTTCACTGTAGATTTTTCTTTCTCTTTAGATGGTTCACCTTCTTCGGCATCCACTGTGCGAACATTAACGGCTGACATTTCAATAGATTTCATAGTCACTTTTCACTAAAACAATTAACGGTATCTCACCACTGCCACCAATTGTCATATAAAATTATGACGAACACAATGTTGAAAGTAAAAAGTGATCTTCTTGATTAAATGAACTTTAATGTCGAAACACAGTGAATAATAAAACGATACATAAAGTTAAACAGAATAATTAATGGACTTTGTGGGTGAGAGTTAATGATAATTATTCTTCTCTGTTTTGTCTCTGGTCAATTCTCTCAGAACAATTTAGTTTTATACCTTTTCTTAGAAAATTCGGGAGAATTAGAGAGAGTTAATCGTCGAATTGACCACCTAAGAACAATTAATTAACTGAGATTACATTAAGATAAAGGGGATTACAATAATTGAATAATTAATAATAATAAAGAATAACAATTAAGATCGGAGATTAAATATGATTCATAGAGTTCGGTGTAGTATTCATGAGAATCAGTAAGGTCAGATTTTTACATGTGATCATCAAAACATTAATCATTCTACACGATTAATTAACTTAATCTATTTACCTTAGTAACAAATATTTAGCAAGAGAGAGAAAGAGAAAAAGAAAAAGAAAGAAAAGAAAAGCATAACCTCGTCAGGTCAGACTACCTGACCTAGCTCATTTCGACTATCTGAGGAGGTCATAGAACAACTTTGTTAAAGTCGGACTACCCGACTTTAACCAAAGTAATAATGAGGGAAAGGAATGGACTCAAAGTCGGACTACCCGACAATTGAGTCCAAGGAAAGGGAAAAAGGAAGGAGAAAAGAAAATAGAAAGAGAGAGAAAGAAAGAAAAACCAATACCTTGGTAAAGATGATGATGACACGATGATGTTGATGATGTTGATGATGTTACTGTTACTATTACTGTTAATTGTTGGCCAATTGTTGATCGTTGTTGTCTGTTGTTGTTGTTGAGGCTGAATGAGCCACCACCCAACTTGGTCATCATCATCAACATGATCATCTTAATCATCATCGTTAATTTTATCACAATTAACCATCAATAATTAATTGCTGAGTGTTAATTGTGATTAATTTAATTGTTTAATTTTTTAATCAATTTTTGATTATCACACTTTGAAATAACCTTTTGAGAATTCACCTTTCAACTCTTTAAACCAAGTTAAACCAATATTGGTTGAAACAGCTTTATTAGTACGAGCGATTGCAGCCAATTCCACCTTTAAACTATCCTCTTCCTCTTTACTAAGGATCTTCTTTGATTTCCTAAAAGCACCATCGCCACCGGAACCAGAACCATCTTCGCCTTTCCTTTTTGGACTTATACCGGCAAGGTCACCGTTCCCACTGGCAGCACCAAGAGGCTTAGAAAAGTAACTGGTAATACTACGCTGTGCCATTTTCAACTGATTAAAACCAACGATGGAACAATTAAACATACAAAGAAAATAAACCAAAACAAGAGGAGAAACGATTAACAAGAATTAAAATCAATATCAATACATTGTCTTGAAGACAAAGGAAAATTTTAAAAAAAACAAAAGCGGCAAAAGAAAAGGGGTCGTATTCTAATATTAATTACTGTTTATTAATTGTTCAATTGGATTGTTTAATTATCGAAATTGAATTTAGAAAAGTTTAGATTTAATTTGATTGATGTTGATAAATTGATAATTGTTGTTTTAAATTGTAATACAAAAACAATTGTCAAACAAATTAAATCAACTGAGAATAGAGGAAAAGACAAATGAGCAGTAAATTGTTAACAATTTAAATCAATCTTTTGCCGCATTTTCCGCTGGCCGAGCATTTACCACCTCTTCCATCGTAACAACAGCCAAAGCTTTATCGATGAATTCGGCTTCCTCATCCAATCTTCGGTGGAAATTGTCATTTGAATTCTCAGGTGACAAAGCTTGATTGAAAATGTAAAGCTTATATGACAGGAGAAAATTGAAAAGGCTGAAAATCTCCTCATCACCTCTGATACCTGGCGTGTTGAAATATCCAAGAAATTCACGAGCGCATTCCATCAAATCACGACCCGGTTCACGAAGGAAAGTGTTTCTGAATACGAAAGCTCGATGTTCACCGAACTTTTTACCTACTTTATTCTAAGAAAAAAAAGATGAGAAAAAAAATAAAATTGAGAAAAGACAAAAAAAACAAAGAGAAAATACAACCTTGTACAAATGATTGAACTTTTCGTGTTTGATTGTTTTCATTGAGATTTTTCTTGGAGATTTGTGAGAGATTGACATTTTGTCGATGTTTTCGGTCAGAAGGCTGATATTTTGAGGAGACGCATCGGTTAGGTTGGGTTCAGATTTAATCTTGTTAGTGGGAAGAGAAAAAGATTGTTACCACTTAGCTCTAGAAGGCGATTATCAACATCGAGATAAACCAAATCCACGAGGTGAAGTCATCGTCAATGGTGATTGTGTGACCGATGGTTGTTGTAAGAATCAAACAATAACGGAACATGTTAATGGACACATTGACCAGATCATTAGTACCCATGAAAATGAGAATATGGAGATTGTTTTTTCTCTTTTTAGGAGTTGAACTGTTTTGTTAATCGTTGAGACTTTAGGTTTGGTGGATTTATGGTAAATCGCCCCAGTTAATTGGAGTTTTTCCTTTTGATTCCAAGTAAGTGTTAGCCTTAGAGAAGTTTTTACAACCAAAGAATCCTCGGTGAACGGATAAAGGTGAAGGGTGAGCTGTTTTGAGAACAAGGTGACGTTTACTGTCAATACTGGCACCTTTCTTTTGAGCATAATTTCCCCATAAGATGAAGACGAGATTCTGGCAATTTGAGTTGAGCCATTTGATTACAGCATCGGTGAACTTTTCCTACCCATGGTCAGCATGTGAATTAGAAGATCCAGAGCGAACTGTGAGACAGGCATTTAATAGTAGGGTAAGACTCTAGAACACCACCGTTCGCAAATCGTCTTGAAACTTTTTCAGTGTATAGCCCTTTACATATAGGTCATACATATGGATGGAATTTCTGCGGAAACTTTTGGTTCAGAAGATACAGGTAGACAAAAATCTATTTTTACATAGGAGTCTATGGAGAAAATGAAAGTTTTCTACAGCATGTCAGAAAATTTCTAGAACAATGTTCTTGATACCATGTATACATATGGGTATGATGATGTTATGTGTGAAAATTCAAGGTTCTGGGTGCCTTGGTTGTGTAGGTAAAATTGCATGAAAAGTGTATTTTCAATGTTTTCATAGATTACTATTGAACCGAAGGTCCGCCACACTCAAAATTTAGTACATATTATTCTTAAGGTCAAACTTACTAGTCAAGGTCATTTCAAGGTCATCAAAGGAGTTTCAAATTTTTAACCTGTGAACAGCAATTTAATTGTGTTGAAGTTAATTATTCGAGATTATGGTGATTATTATGCATCAGATGGCAGCACTGAATTTCTTGTAGTCAACTGAATCTTCAAGTTGCTTGAAATGCAAATAAAATTATAAGAAATCAAAATCTCAGGCTATGTCATGCGTACTGTGTGTATTACTTGGTACAGGATATGCTTCTGGGGACAAATATTTAGCCCTTTGGTTCACATTCCATCAAGTGCAAGCTAGAAGTTATCAAGATTGCACTGAGACTTGCCGAAGTCTTTAAATGTGACTACCAACAACTAACCAGACCTTATTTTGGGAAGTGTCCGTCTTGTTTTTCTGAACAAAGTTCAAACTAATAGTTGTACATACAAACAGCCAATAGATGCCTTTCCTTGTGACCCACAAGTAGTTCAAACACTTTTAGATGTAGAAGAGAATAACTAGTACAATCACTTAAACACCTCTGTGGGCTGACCGCGCGGCAAAATTTTTTTGACCCTGCCCCGCCCCTTCAGGTGGGCGTGGTCGCTACGCGACCATTAATCTTAGCATATCCTTTTTAACTGCGATCATACAGCTCATAACATATATTATTCAACGAATTATTTTATCAAATTCATACATTCAGAAGTCTATGTATCATAAAAAGTCCATTAGTTACCTTTATCATTGAAATATCCAACATAAATAAGCCTCAAAACAAAAATATAGCGATAACCTTGAAATGACCTTGACTAGTAAGTTTGACCTTGAGAATAATATGTACTAAATTTTGAGTGTGGTGGACCTTCGGTTCAATAGTAATCTATGAAAACATTGAAAATACACTTTTCATGCAATTTTACCTACACAACCAAGGCACCCAGAACCTTGAATTTTCACACATAACATCATCATACCCATATGTATACATGGTATCAAGAACATTGTTCTAGAAATTTTCTGACATGCTGTAGAAAACTTTCATTTTCTCCATAGACTCCTATGTAAAAATAGATTTTTGTCTACCTGTATCTTCTGAACCAAAAGTTTCCGCAGAAATTCCATCCATATGTATGACCTATATGTAAAGGGCTATACACTGAAAAAGTTTCAAGACGATTTGCGAACGGTGGTGTTCTAGAATATAGCCAATAGTAGAACTCCTTGTTTTGCCCATCTCGTTAAATCTCCATGTTCGGGCATAAAATCAGAAATGTCTGCAGCCAATTCTCGGTACAGATTTTTCAAACTTGGCGGAGGATCAACACCTTTCTGTACACTAAAACATAAACCATGAGCTTGTCTTGGACCATGATATGGATCTTGACCCAAGATGACCACTTTGATTAATTGCCACTTCACCATAATCACCGTTCCCATTGGCAGCACCAAGAGGCTTAGAAAAGTAACTGGTAATACTACGCTGTGCCATTTTCAACCGATTAAAACCAACGATGGAACAATTAAACATACAAAGAAAATAAACCAAAACAAGAGGACACAGAAAATGTAATGTAACATGTTGGATTCTTAAAATAACCTGCGGTCACACAATCACCGCCGATGGAATCACCTCGTGGATTTGGTTTATCTCGAGGATGATATTTAACTTCATCCCAATCAGAAAAAAACTTACTGGTTTATATGCCATCGTAAACAAAATGAAAAAAACTAAAAATTAACTAAACTAAAAATAAATTGCTTTATTTATCTTAATCATTTAGCCAATTGATGTGATGATAAATAATAGTTTCCAATACAATTGAATTAAATTCACTCTAATTTGATTAAAGGTTAAATTGTTGACAAGGCTTGAGGATATTGAAAGAGCTTAATTTTAATAGTTAATCATTTCTAATCAGTTATAATAATTAATGCTAATTAACAACGGTAGGACGAGATGAGTAACAATTATCAACGGAGATCATTTAATCAATTAATTAAGACAGTTTTCCAAGTATATAATCAATTAATTGATGTCCAAGTTGATCATCTGAACAATTGAGTCGACAACAATTAAATACAAACAATCAATCACAATCTAATAAGTAGTAACTCTAATTGTTGTATTTCTGATAAGTTCATTTATTGATTGTTTTGATAACTATGAGATACAATTGAGTCCAGAATTCAATTATCATGGCAATCATGTTAATCATAATTCAGATCATAATTTACTTGATTTCAAATGATAATAAATAAGTTACAATCAATTGATTGTTAAAATATCACAATCTCAATGAAAAGATAAATAAACAACTACAGGGTTAGCAATAGGGTAATGTTGAAAAGTTTTTATTTGTAACTTCTGAATGCGCATGCGCAGGGACTATTGCTATATGTCGAATTGTAACTAATATAATGGAGTTAATGGTAACTTGAGCAGTTGCCATTGCTGATTTATCGTCCAAAACGGATCCAGTGCGTTTGAATTTGTCATAAAGACTAAAAAAAATTGTTAGAAAAAGTTCAATTAGAAAACCATAGCAAAAAAAGCAAAATTGCGAAAAATTGACACAAAAACTCACCTTTTTACCGTTCTCGGATCAGGTCCATCTCTCACCTTGAAATAGGTACAATAAGCCCTGACAACACTAGCCCACTTTTGTTGAAGTTCTATGGCCTTTTCGACCAAAAAAATTCGCTGTTCCGTTGTGTATTTATTCATTTTTGAAAACAAAAATTTTACCAAAAAAAACTTGTAAACATAAATTGGAGGATGCGGAAATAACTATCTGAAAATATGGTGGCGCTACATATACATGCGCGCGAGATATAAGCAAAAAGATTTCAACATTACCCCAATGCTAACCCTGTAGAAATTGACCCAAATAAATAAATAAATTGTAACATTTATCAAACTAAATTGTCATAATGGTCAATGAATTGTTAACATCAACAATCAAAAATTAATTTCCAGACAATTTAATCACAATCAGAGTAATTAAAACGAACAATAAGTAAATCAACAATCAAAATTGTAATCAATTAATACAACTAATTTACTTCAACAAATGTGAAGCAAATTTTACAAACGAAAAAAAATCAATTCAATTAATCAATCATTCATTAAATGAATGATTAAAACATAGATCATTTTGAAATGCTAATTGTTTCCCATTGACAACGCTGACAATCAGTTTAATCACAATGATAAAAACTAAATATAAACAAGAGCAACAAAAAAACAAACAAACAACAATTGGAAAGGTTTTGTTATCCAATTAACTACAGTTAATACAAACAATATAGCTCATGTTAATATAATCATGGTAATAATCATAATTTAGTTTTTTTATTGTAAATGATCAACTCAATTGTAATCCCAATTGGATGCCAATCAGACAAGTTAACTTATCTCGTTATAATTTCATCCTCCTCTCACTATAATCAAATCAATTTAGATATACAGCCACGAAAAATGAGATGAGAACAAAAATTATATCAATTGCGCATAAAGAGATAATTTAATCAAATTTAAAAGAGAAATTGTATTGATTTAGATGGAAAGTAATAGAAAAATGTAATCACAATTAGAAAAAAATTATCTCTCTATGCTTATAAGTCACAATTTTTGTTCTCATCTCATTTTTCGTGGCTGTATAACTAAATATATGTAATGTAAAGTCAATTTTTGGAAAGAGAAACCAAAGGATAAGAAATCCTCTTTCTCATCTCTTTCTTTATTTTCTTTTTCTCTTTCATTTTCTCTTACTTTTCTCTTTCTTTTTGATTTAATTTCTCTCTCTCTCAACCTACAATTAATTAACTAATTGTTGCCAAACATTTGTTGTTATTGTTACTGTTGATCAACCACAACAACAACAGGTTAACAAATATTAATTTTTGTTAATCAACATCAATTGTTGATGATGGTGATGATTTGATTGTTGATGACAATTAACAACAACAACAACAACAACAACAACAAGTCAGTTGATTACTAGCTGATGATGGTGATGGTTAATTAATCATGTTGATGATTAATTAAATTTATCTAAATTAAAAATTAATAAAGATTAAATTGTTTACTTTGAATTGAGGTAATTAATTAATTCCTTTTCAGCTTCGATTGGTTATTATTTCCAAGGAAGTGTTTAATTGGAATTCATATTCTGTGATAATTTTGTATTGGAATTATTTCTGTGAATTTCTGGCTGAAGCTATTTATTTTATAAGTCGACAGGATTATCATCTGTCGGTGATAATCTATTGGATTAATTTTGTTTTCTTTTGTTGATCAATTAATTGATTGATTAATTGAAATCAACCAAACCAAACACCAAACCAAACACCAAACAAAACACCAAACCAATCGCTGAACCAATCACTCAACCAATCGCTGAACTAAACCAACCACTTAACAAAACACTGAACCAATCTCTGAACCAATCACTTAACCAACCATTGAACAATATGATTACCATCACGAAGCTAGTCACTGGCTCGAGAGTTAGTTTTCTGATTTCTTTCTGCTAATCTTTTACTTCACCCGCTGATAGACTTTAATCCACAATTTACTAAATCCATTGCTGTCCAATCATTGATGTCCACTAACTATTGACCATCGCTGTTAGACAGCGGAGGACTCCGAGAGCTCCATGTTGGAAATGTTACATCGCTGGAAAACCAACACAATTCCATTGGTATGATCACTGTCCCTTCGCTGCTGATCGAGAAGACCAAAGTACCAATGATGATCAAGCTCATACTCCCGCTGCTAATCAAGTCCATCAAACTGGTGATGAGATTGATTATATTCAAATTGACTGAATTATGCTGATAATTCCCTCCGTTTAATCATAAGGGTGGGGATGTAATGTAAAGTCAATTTTTGGAAAGAGAAACCAAAGGATAAGAAACCTCTTTCTTTATTTTCTTCTTTCATTTTCTCTTACTTTTCTTTCTTTTGATTTAATTTCTCTCTCTCAACCTACAATTAATTAACTAATTGTTGCCAAACATTTGTTATTGTTACTGTTGATCAACCACAACAACAGGTTAACAAATATTAATTTTGTTAATCAACATCAATTGTTGATGATGGTGATGATTTGATTGTTGATGACAATTAACAACAACAACAACAACAACAACAACAAGTCAGTTGATTACTAGCTGATGATGGTGATGGTTAATTAATCATGTTGATGATTAATTAAATTTATCTAAATTAAAAATTAATAAAGATTAAATTGTTTACTTTGAATTGAGGTAATTAATTAATTCCTTTTCAGCTTCGATTGGTTATTATTTCCAAGGAAGTGTTTAATTGGAATTCATATTCTGTGATAATTTTGTATTGGAATTATTTCTGTGAATTTCTGGCTGAAGCTATTTATTTTATAAGTCGACAGGATTATCATCTGTCGGTGATAATCTATTGGATTAATTTTGTTTTCTTTTGTTGATCAATTAATTGATTGATTAATTGAAATCAACCAAACCAAACACCAAACCAAACACCAAACAAAACACCAAACCAATCGCTGAACCAATCACTCAACCAATCGCTGAACTAAACCAACCACTTAACAAAACACTGAACCAATCTCTGAACCAATCACTTAACCAACCATTGAACAATATGATTACCATCACGAAGCTAGTCACTGGCTCGAGAGTTAGTTTTCTCTGATTTCTTTCTGCTAATCTTTTACTTCACCCGCTGATAGACTTTAATCCACAATTTACTAAATCCATTGCTGTCCAATCATTGATGTCCACTAACTATTGACCATCGCTGTTAGACAGCGGAGGACTCCGAGAGCTCCATGTTGGAAATGTTACATCGCTGGAAAACCAACACAATTCCATTGGTATGATCACTGTCCCTTCGCTGCTGATCGAGAAGACCAAAGTACCAATGATGATCAAGCTCATACTCCCGCTGCTAATCAAGTCCATCAAACTGGTGATGAGATTGATTATATTCAAATTGACTGAATTATGCTGATAATTCCCTCCGTTTAATCATAAGGGTGGGGATGTAATGTAAAGTCAATTTTTGGAAAGAGAAACCAAAGGATAAGAAATCCTCTTTCTTTATTTTCTTTTTCTCTTTCATTTTCTCTTACTTTTCTCTTTCTTTTTGATTTAATTTCTCTCTCTCTCAACCTACAATTAATTAACTAATTGTTGCCAAACATTTGTTGTTACATGTTATAGAAGTACTAGATTCAGTTGAACATCAAGTCAAGGTCACACAATAATGTCAAAGTCATCTCAAGGTCAAATTACGGTGAGTAGTCTATGATGTTTTTCACTGGTAGAAATATGTATAATACGCTCGCTGTAGACGAGAATGATGTGTTTGGAGTATATGCAAACTGGTATACGATAGATAATAAAATACAAATAGAAGT